TAACAAACGTTTTAACAACAAACGTTAACTTCAACAATACTTTCTGACTGCAGTTCAATTACTCACTACCTAAACACATTGTCCCGTCACGTTGTGGGCGTCTTATATATATACCAGACAAACATATATCTAGTAAATGCTAGGGCATTCACGAAGGTACAAGATATTTCTAGAAAATAGGTGGCGTGACACTAATCACGTGACCTCGTTGACGCAACACTATCAATAAATTCATTTCAACACCAACAAGGAACAAGAGGCCTACGTTACTTCGATCACTACTGGTCTGATCACGGGTTATTGGCCATCCTAGGACTCTAACTAGCTAAACCAGGTTGCTGCACAAAGTATAACCTTTGCCAATATTGGCTATTTTGAAGAAAATACCCTTTATTATACGCCCTTTGTCAAAACCGGTGGAAAAGGAATTTATTTTAAGGCCTGTTTTAGGGCCTCCAGATAATAATAACGTTCTTATAGCGTGTGGCTTCTCGACAAATCACAAGCGAACTTCACTGTGACGTCACTATATATATCAGTAACGTTAATAAGCGTGTTTTTGTTTGTAATTAGTTAAGCACAAAGCTACATAACGGGCTATATGTGTTGTGCCCACCATGGGTATTGAAATCCGGTTTTTAGCGTTGTAAGCCTTCCGACTTACCGGTGTCCCACTGGGGGTGGAGGAAGGCGGGTTAACGTGTCTGTTGGGCGCATGAGGTATAATACAGACTGCAGCATTTTCGGTAATTATTTCTCTTTGAACATGCATATCAGCGCTTGTTCGTAAGAGAAACTGTAATTATTTTTCATGTGTAATTTACAGATCATACGATACGATGTTTATTGTCACTCGGGTCGACTAAAAATGGCTGCATTTGATAAGAATATATTGGCGTTAATAAATGATGGTCTGTATGACGCTCGGTGCTTTAAGTAGCTGTTGTCTTTGTGTACGAATTTTTCTTTAATAACATTATATAAGTTCCACAGAAATTTCTAATCAGACGATTAGTTCATCTATAAAACGTAAAGAATTGTTTATCAGTAAGGTGTGTGTGTGTGTGTGAATGTATCAAAATTTCGAAATGATGATAAACATGTCACTTAATATATTCCGAGAAGCCATGCACTACTGTGACAGCATGCACTGCGTCACGTGACTAGCTTTTATAACCAAGTGAAAAGATCCAGCACCCAGGGGACGACCTTGGGACCCAGGCTAAGTACTTCTATCAGGGAGCCGGTAAGGAGGGAGTGTCGGCAGGCGACGGATGATGAGAAGCCTCCCATCTGCCCCTTCTTTTGGTACTTATCTTCTTTTTTCTTCCGTTACAATAACCATTGCACAAAGTAAGAACCATTGCTCACTTCCCTGCCACGCTAAATGAGGTCCTACGATCGAGCATCTGCTGCACGTGCTGAATCGTTCCACACGACCACAAGTGGGAGAAGCCAGCCTGTTGAACAATGTGGGAGCTGCCATCTGTTGAATCCCTGAAGAAAATACGTGTTCCTGCCGTATTATACTAACTTTTCACTCACGAAATTGATTATTATTTGACAACAATACAAACTACAAAATTTATACTGCATAAATAATCTTCACCTTGATAATGCTTATTTGACTTACAACGCTACAAGCCTGTTCTTAAATCTCAAAATGTAGAGAAATAAAATAACCAACACGATCAAAGTAAGTACGACAATATAAAAATAAAGTAATAATAATAATTCATAAACATGAAAATATTAACCAATCAGCAACAGCCATCCGCAACACAGAAATATCAGCCCATCAACAACAACAAATATGGTATTATCAACAGTATTCATTTGCAAGGAAAGAAATAGCGGCACCATTCATCTGTAAACATACATAATTCATAAACAAAAAAAAAAATCATTCGCAAAAATACGAATACCAACCCGACAGCAACAATAATGCATAAATGTGGAAATATCAACTAATAAGCATCAACAATCCACAAACATCGAAAGATAAGCTTATGAACGACAAGTATGAAATGTAAGCACATCAACAATAATAATCCGTAAATATGGAAACAACTCATCAGTGAAAACCACCTGCCAAAATGGAAACGTCAGTCGATCAACAACAAACATTCGAATAACTAACCAATAACAGACACAAGTTGTTTTAGACAGACAGCTCTTTAATAATAGATAGTCACAAACACTGTAAAAAAAAAAAACACCAGAAATGATCCCAAAATATTTTATGATTAATATCAGAAATCATGGACCAAATACTTATCCAAAAAAGTAATATAGAAAAGAAAAAAAATTACGTCAGTGAAAATCTTGGTACCGTATTGGTAATTTTAATTGTTGATATGTGGTTTTTCGATGATGTACAGATATGTTACTATTAAAATAATACTTTACAAATAACAGCTATCAATGGAAAAAAACTGAGTAGACGTAAAAAAATGACTTTTTTAACTGTAAATTTCTGCTTTCAATTATATTATATCGTGTAAGATTATGATTGCTTTCAATTATATTATATCGTGTAAGATTATGATTGCTTTCAATTATATTATACGTGTAGGATTATGATTTCAGAAACGGTATATACAATAAGGTCACTGTATTAAAGTTTCGTGAGTCACAGATCGCTAAAACTACTTCTAATTAAAAACTCGGCCTTATCTTATTGTTTGATTATCATTCACTCGGCTGCCAAAGCACTTACACGATAAGCTTTGTCATAGAGCGTATTAAGATAATTTTGAATAATGTTCTCCAATGAGCACGGCCATCAACCTCATAGCGCCCCCGGTGCCAAATTGTTATTCAGTTGTATTTGAAGAACGAACTGGGCGTCGAGCGTAAGCACAATTCATGAAAGTCAACCTTACGAGCTTGTATGAAGAATAAATAATTAAAGAAATAAATTCAAGATTTCAAAATACAGATGATGATTCTTTTGAACAACGCGTGGTTCTTGTACTGTCAGAACGCCCCATAGAAAGCGTGGTTCTTGTACTGTCAGAACGCCCCATAGAAAGCGTGGTTCTTGTACTGTCAGAACGCCCCATAGAAAGCGTCGTTCTTGTACTGTCAGAACGCCCCATAGAAAGCGTGGTTCTTGTACTGTCAGAACGCCCCATAGAAAGCGTGGTTCTTGTACTGTCAGAACGCCCCATAGAAAGCGTCGTTCTTGTACTGTCAGAACGCCCCATAGAAAGCGTCGTTCTTGTACTGTCAGAACGCCCCATAGAAAGCGTCGTTCTTGTACTGTCAGAACGCCCCACGTAATATGTTGTTGGGTCACAAAATTTTTACGAATAAAGAAAACACAACAATGTAAGAACTATTAAGGCAGTCATGTGACACGTGGAATGATGCACGTGCCGTTTCTGTCGCTCGTCTTTCAGCATAAGACTTGTATTGCGTTGGTTCATTTCCGAGAGCGAAGGTTAAGGCAACCAACTGTCGATACCAGCTGCAGCTGGAGCTGAGAGAAGGGGAATCAGGGGTGATAAGCGGCAGATGTGCGCAGAAATCACGAATAATCAGCTTCTTGGGTGCATTTATGTTTAAGTTGTCAATTTGAACAAGACGTGTATCAGTGTTTGTATGGCCAGTCATATAGAGCATAAAAAACACCAAAGATTTGTTTTGGAGGCAGTGATAACACGACCAACCATATAGAGCATAAAAATACCAAGTTCCATTTGTGCCATAGCATAACTTGTGACCATAATTTCAATATTATTGTAAATTTTTATATCTTTCTTTGTAAATAATTAATTATTCTTCACTTTGTTGC